CCTCCCCAAAATAATAAAAGCCCCCCCCCCCCTCCAACAGGTAAGTGTATTCTAAAACGAGAAAAACGAAAGACGGAATTAATCAAATGGATTTTTGAAGGAAATCTGTGGTTTTACTACCTGCATATAATAGATAAGACGTCAAAAGCAGTTAAAGAAGCAGACTACATATCCAAATAATGAACAGGAATATTGGCTAGTATTATACATGTATATACTGGCTAGTATTTTATAGTATAATGAGACTTTAGTTTTTCCAAAAGTACTATTCGTCAAAGATTGAATATTGAATGTTAACAACACCATACACCATTTAAAAGGGATACGAAATGAAAATAAAATTATTACCTGTACAATAGACTTCTGCACTGTACAAGCAATCATTATCTACATTGTAAGAACAGTTGTTGATATGTGATTCATTACCATTGCATTGAAGATTTGAGATAAAAACTGGGCCGTCGCCCCCTGTATCTGTGTCAATACTACTTGCTCTGTTAAAAAACAATATACATATCTTAATTGCTATCAAAACAGTTCATTATATTCCTGATCATGTCTGATATTTAAACGCAGATATAGCAATATATCATTAAATGTTTCTTTTACAAACACTGCCCATCTTACTTGAAATCGTCAGCAAAACTTGCGTTACTTAAATAGTCGTTTTCCATTTATATGTTTATTGCTTGGCTATATTGAAGATGCATTTTATAAATATGTAAAAATAGTTTGCCGTTGGCCTTAAAACAACAATTTTTCAGTTCCATTAACCCGTTTAACCGTTTAAGAGTATTGTTATAAATCAATTCAAGTGTGGATAAGAACTTATGATTCTACAAGGAAAACCCCTCGATAACACTATAAAGTTCGTACACTAGTTATACCATGCACATGAATTACTACCTTTTGCATGCGTACAGGCATTGCAACTTCACTGTGTTTAAGTTTTAAAAATTAATTAGTTGTTATCAAGAACACGGTAAATGCAGAATTTTCCAGTGTAATCAGTGTGTTCAACTCTTATAGCTGCACGCTGTACAATGCCTATTGTTTTTGAAAAGATGCAACTTGTACAAAATCATCGGTTTTAAATGCGGAAATATAAAATTAATTTTAAACAAGATTTACATGTAATAAAAAAGACTCCGCACTAAACTGTCAGCACTATTTCTAAACTTGACAATGGTACATTTTGTAGATACGTTGGCAGAATATTGAATATGTCTTGTCATGTCATTTAATAGTATTTTCCTCGTCGCGACGGCTTAAACAGTTTTCTTATGCCTTAGCCATAAGTTGCCATAAAATTACACTTTATTCTAGAAACAAACACGCATTCTCTACATACCATGCATACTGCACAATAAACTGTCTTGATGCCTAACACCGATTTTACCATATTTGGCTAGTATGTTCTGACGAAGTTTTATTTCTATTTTATACCTAAATGCGATATAAATTCAAAAATGAATAATTTTATACAATTTTAAAAATCTGTTTTATCCCATTGATTGCGTGAATATTTTTTACCGACTGGCACATTAAACATGAAAATTGAATACAAAATAAACATGGGCCGGCCATAATAATATTTTCCTGAAACAAAAATAATGAATAAAAAGTCATTCTTAGACTATTTGAGAAAAAAACAATTAAGAAATATCAAAACAGTTTCATGGTATATTATTCAATATTTTTGTATTAATCGAACGGAAAAAAGATTGTAGGATACAAAAATAATTGTCAGACTTGTATTGGAAGATTTCGAAAATTTTGAAATGCTTAACAACTTTATCCGTTGCGCTAAGTTATTAATCTATCTCTGACAGTTAACTGATTACGGGTTATATCGAATGCTCGGAGGTAACATAAATATCAATAAAATGGCTTCTGGGGCTATAAGCAGTGTGAAGGATTTGACAAAAAAATGCAATTAAGAGTCAATATCCCTACTGAAGCATCAAATTAATGAACACGAGTATATAAATTGCATGAATTTACAAATACATTATAATGAGGTACCACAAGGGAGAGCTTTTAAAAAAGCAGTCTCTTGTAAGGCTAATATAAACTATATTTTGATTATTTTGATGATTGTCACTGTAAAGTTATCAGATATGATTTCTATTTATATTTCAATAATGCACTCAAAGTCATATTGAAATTAAATACTACATTTTGTAAATTAAGTTAATGTAAAGATAAAATATGATATGGAACATACTCTAAACCAATCATTTGACAAATGACATTCGCCTCTGCTATAGTAAAATTGTTGCTACATATAGTTCCCCAAATGCCATTAACCTGTATCTCTACACGACCTTCATGATGATCATATCTGTTTACAAGCTTCATATCACTTATTTCTAACGGATAGGCTATAAATAAAACATTTTATATAACATAGCTATAACAGCTCTTTCAAATCATTTTGTAGTTTTTTGTACCAAAGTTAAATATATCTATATGACAAGTCATATTGTGAACTTAAATCCCCACAAAAAGTAACTTTGTGAATAGATTATGATAATAGCTTTTATTATATATTTTTGGTCAGTCATAATTATATAATTAACTATAAAAATCCCAGTAGCTTTATGATTCTAATTATAAAAATATCGTATATTGACATAATTTTAAGATAAGCAATATAAGTAACGTACAATATTTTGATGAACATTTGTCATTTTGCAGCCAAGTCCCATTCGCAAGACAGTCAAATGTTATTTTTTCTGGTTGAAAGCCAAAGTCACACTTTGCAGTCAGCACAGTACCATTAAAAGAATCAAAAGATCCGGAATGTATTGTCGGTTTACCACAAGCTGTAAATAAAATAATGTTAAAGTGACATTATGCCCATTTAAAGTTATATAGTGAGTGAACGGGTGAAAGTCAAAATAAGTTTTCATTTTGCCATAATTCCTTTTTTATTTAATAATTAAGTTTGCATAAACAATAAATAACTCGCAGATCCCAACGAAATTTCTGTAAATATCCATAAGAATTTACCTATAACGCTTAGTTTATAAAAAGAGTGGGGCAGTCTTTTTAAATTTTAGACAGATATATAATTTTAACCTAAACATTTTCCAATATCAACTGTTGGTCAAACACCATTTTGACTGTCAATCTTTTGAAATATAAAGTTAATTCAGCTCAACTTGACCATGAAAATATGAGCATAATGTCACTTTAAATTTTAGATGCATATAAAATTGTATTATATGTAGAGAAAATGAAAGGTGAAACATCTACTATGCTCTCTAGCACCGACTGAAATATTATTCAGATCTCAAAGCTCTAATCAATCCTTAACACTCAATATATCACTAAGGATCAAAAAATATTTCAACAGTTTTAAGTTTGGTTCAACATTACATTTATCAAAGGCAATCAAAACAAATAATACCAGAATGATTACAGAGAATTTTGATTTGAATGCACACATTTTCAATTTAAAAACGTCAAAGCATCCCTTAAGACAACTGTGTGTTAACCAACTAAATCATCACCATAATTATAAACAACCTCAGCAAGTCACGTTATATATATTGGTTTGAAAATGATGTAAGTTGGTCTGATTATGTTTGTAAATAAAATTTTAAAAAATCTATCAAGAATGATAGGGATGATGCAAATAATGCTTACGTGTACACACTAACGACATATCATCACTGTGAGAGCAATAGCGCCGTCTTGGGGGAAAATTATAATTACACTGATTTACATGAGTGTTTGTAGCAGAGCATCCCATATAACCGATATATATAGCTCCTGTTCCTTGTCCGTAAACAGAAGGATAGGAAAAGTAGTGCGTTAATCTACAATTTTATAAATTCCAATTTTAAAATCAAATGTAAATAAACAATCAATTCTCTGTCCAGAGAAGGAATAACAACTGCTGTAAATTATGCTGTCAATCACAACTGTTCGTTGGTAAGCTTTAAGCATGATACCCATAACAGTTACTGTTAAATAAAAAGAAGTGCTTTATAATTGACGTTTATACGCAGATGAAATTTCTTCATATATTATAAAGTTAAACTTTACATTTGATTAATATGAAATTTTAAAGTACATTGTAGTTAATATTTATTTTGAAACGCGTGTTACAAAACCGTTTTCGTATACATAACTAGTTAAGTTCTGAATTCTACCAATGTTCATAGCTGATAATAATTAAAGGTCCTGTATGTTGTGATCAGAGTGGTAAATCGTTTTTTCTAATGCGTTCATTTAAGGTCGCCGCCGGAAAGCCCATATGGGCGACCGTACACTCAAGTCGGGCCATCCTAGAGCGTCCCGCCGAGATTTATTTCGTCGATTTTTTCCAGCTTTTATTGGTGGAGGAAGACCCAAGGTGCCCCTCCGGGCATTATTTCAGGCACGAGCGGGCACCCGGGTAGAACCACCGACCTTCCGTTAGCCAGCGGGTAAACCACACTAAGTGAAAATATATATATGTATATAATTATGCAAATAAAACAATTTTCAAACATCAAGGAATATGTGAAATATGTACTGCAAATATTTGTGCATATTTTATGTAAACATAAAAATATATGCATTCATTTCTTTTTGTAAAATTTGACTTAAGCTTTATACAAAAAATAAAGTTTTTATTACCTCCCTTTATTAACATGAAATGTTAAATTCGGTAACATCTTTTAAATAATGTTTTTTGGAACCTCAATATTGATAAATCTTAATTTGAGCTTCATATTTATGATTTAAAACCATAAAAAAATGTGTTACAGGATCTTTAAATCTGTTATTTGTCGAAATTTTAACGCAGCTGAAAAAAGCTTGAATAATTGAATAATAAGTTTTACTTCCTTGTATTAAACATTAGTAACGACACTTTCCCTCATTATTCGGATTATGAAGGCATCTGTTTAAGCTAAAATATTTTACTTGTATGTACTATATTTAAAGATCTATCTATCTTTTTTCTAATTTTAAGATAAACGAATGTTGTTTATAGAATTGATTTTATAATCTAAATATTCCAATTTTATATACTACTCACGACATGTATGATCGTATAAGACTTTCAGTTTCACTTACTTAAAACCCATTGATTTACATAGAGTGTCGGCATCATATGATCCGATTTGATAACCGCAAACAGTTCCCCAGCCATTGTTTATCTTGACTTCAACACGACCGTCATATTGACCTGTTCCACCGACAAGCCTAACATCTGTTATATTATGTGGATATTCTAAAACAAACAAAAAGTGCATATATTTTCATTGTGATTTATTTAATTTCGATAATCATCATTTTGAAATAATACTTACGTGTTATTCCTGGTATAGAGCTTCCAAAACATACATACTGTAATTTTACGTACATATTTTGACATACCTCTGGCACTCTATATGCATGCCAACTATCGTCACATACATTGTACTTTATGGTAGCACACTCAGATAGAATACGTGTGCCTTGTCTGATTCTGGTTTTAAAATCTATAGCGCTTTTCTAATTTTAATAGTATGAAGTACAAAACGGACTTGATATGGATATTGGACACGAGACTGGATGGAGTCCGATATTTATAATTGCATATTGTGCAAACGCTGGAAGTCTTTTGTTTTTAATGAAATAGGAAATGAATATCAATGATTAGAGTGATATTGCAAAACAATGCACCATTTGAGGGCTTATGCGAAGAAATATGATTAATAACAAAGTATTAAAGCAGTTGTATTATTGTATAACAAAAACTTGACTGTCTGTAGTTAGTTGTACAATGTACAAGTTTAAGAATATTTTTAGCATGTTGAATAATGATAATAACTATATTAATGATATGAATATCAAACATATGTACACAATTACAATTCAAGAAGAAAAGCACTGTCAAATTGATTTACGTCTTCAGCTAATTCAATTGCATTTTGATATCATCTTAACATTCTTTATTAACAGCTTCTATACAAAATACTATACAGGCATATTAACAGAAACATAAACTCGAACTTACTACACTCCACGAAAATTGGATAGCTACTCGAACACGTCTGGCGAACATCGTATAAACATTCGTTTATGTGATCCTCCGTTCCTATACAATCAAGTTTGTCCAAATGATAAATGTTTGAAGTGCTTCCATAATAGAGAGAATCGTAAAACCAGTAGCTGAAATGATTATTTTAAGGCCCATGAATGGCACCTTTCGGTAAAAATAATGAAAAACATAATTATGTGTACCATACTTTTATTTTAACAAAAGTAACACCATTTTTTTTTTTGCTTTCTTTATTTGAACTGTTTAGATAAAACCAATTTAGCTGATAAACATTTAAGTTTATGCGACACTATTATCAGCTTTTAATTATACTAAAAATAAAATGTTTATTATTTATAAATCCAAATTGATTTTTAAAGCTGCACGCCTCCAGATGCGCCAAATAATTTTTTTAAAAAATCAATCTTTAGAAAAATGTATTTAGATCTAAGAAAAGTAAAAAGATTCAATATCTAATTAATTATTTACATGTTATGTGCGAGTAATGACTTATTTTGCAGTATCAATCATAATAATTCTACTGCGTTACTAACACAGTAAGAGGTATCGATGTATATTTTGACCTCTTGTTGGTAATTTACGTGCAAGTTCCGTTTGCAATGCGTTAATTTCTTTCATCGTTCACTCTGCAGCATTTTTTTTAAATACATTTTCAAAATTTTCATGCAAATTAGCATGAATCTGGAGGCATACTGCAAACATGAAAAAATTATACTAAATATTACTTTAATCCAAGCATCCTGCATATCACTTTTGCATCGCTCCTATCGAAGTTGTTACGACAAATCTGTCCCCAAGTACCATTGACCTTCAGCTCGACGAAACCATCGGTAAGACCTATACCGTTGACAAGCCGTATGTCAGTAATGTTCAGTTCTGTAAAGATTCATGTTATTTATGGGCGGTCTTTTTACATTTCGATATTCACAAAAAACAGCAATTCTATTTCGCGCATGCGAAAGTCGGTGTATCAGTATCAAACAGTTTTTTTTAAAAAAAAACATTCTGACTTAATCCATACAGTTTAATTTATGTGTTCAATTCTGACATAAGAAATTCATATGATGTTAAACATATAAATGGATGGAAATGGGACCTTTTATATAAGCGTTTAAATGTCAGTAAATTGTATATATAACATCAAAATCATCTTAAAGGGGAATGTCTTACAATTAACGTGGTTTGATATCAAAGCATGCGGGATGTTTTTTTCTATCAAACATTACAATGGGAGTTCATTATGTATCCGAAACATTATTCAATAGGCTATCTTGGTTGAAGCAGCAGATTTAGACTATCAGATATTTATGAATTACATAATCATACATAATTGGTACTGTAAGTTTTCTATATTAAGCTTGTACGTATTTATATATACTAAGCATGATGATGGTCTATTCATATTAGATGTGCGAAATATCAAACAATGGTGGTGTGTATTCATCTGTGATTGTGATAGCAAAAACGGTTTAAGCGAAAGAAACCACATCTTTTCAAGGGCAAAACAAAGGAGGTCGATAACAACCCCACCTTCTCCCCATTGTTTTCGCTTAAAATATTTGTTATCATATTCTAAGATAATTCAAGGTGTAAATACATTCTTTTTAAGTAGTTTTTAATCGGGTTAATGTCTTTATGTAACCCTAGCATACGAAGTGGTTTTGGCAAGGCTATTAAATCTATTGAATAACAAAATTTTAATAAAGCTAACATCTGACCTAACATGCACGCAAAAAAAATTAATAAATGTATGTCTTTCCACTTAATGCACAGCAAAGTCAAGCGCATTACCGTTAACTTAATAAATCCAGAAAATATTTCAAACGTACCACATGTAATACCGTTTGACCATATTCCATTAGTTTGGCATATACTTGTTTGTGTGTTTGTCTGGTAGTCAGTAACACAAGAGGTTGTTAGAACCGAACCATTTGATGATATTAAGTCAATGATTCCATTGTTGATGTCGATTTCTCCACATTCTGTCAGTGAAATGAAATGATGATTCATAGTTCTCTCACAAACCATTTTACTTATGAGTTTCACGTACTATCCACTTGAATTAAAACTGGATAGAGTTAATTTATTATGGTTATGTAATAGCTTTTACTTTCATATTGTTACTAATCATTATAAAATGGAAGTAAACGTTAATAGGAGTTTTAGAATTGGGAAAAGGGAAGAAGTTTTATTGCTTGGTATATTTATGTACTTGTTGGCCGAAACAGATAAAATGTGAATTGCATTTCATAAGTTTATGTGACTTTCAATTATAAAAGTTCACAACTATTAAATATAATAAACATTTTTCAGAGAACACGAATCTGTACCTGTACATATTACCCCAATGTCTCGTGAATGAACGCAAAACGAATTCGGTTCGAAGCGACAATCTCTAAGGTGACTTTCATTTCCATTGCAATGAAACCTCTCAGCAAATACTGGTCCTTTTCCTTGCCCATAATGTGCTCCTGTAAAGAATGATGTTGCTCTGAAATTGAAATCAATATTAAAGTATGGTATTGTATTAAGTTTTATCTAACTTTTGTAAATGTGTTCCAAAGGCAAACCTATTATAACATAAACGGAAAAATGCATGTGTTTTTAGTAAACAAATGCAAATAAAATATATGATAAAGTCAATGTCAAGTGTAATCAATGAGACTCAGTGTTAAACTATTAAAAAGTAAAGGAATTAGCACTTTAAATCACAAAGATTAAATAGTTAAAAGTATACTTTGTTATTTCAAAGACAAGTGAAATGTAAACCAAGTATTATTCCACGCAGTGATAAGTAATTAAGACATTTGATCGAAAAACACGAAATATGATAATATATATAAAGGAAGTGTATAAATTATTTTATGATACAAGAAGAGCTTGCCTTTGGATTCATGCAATTATCAAATGTTAATTAAGAAAATATAAATATGGTGTATATTTGTTTAAGAAAGAGGGGAATGTGTTGAAGAGACTATTGCAAATAGAATAAACATACGTCAGATTCATTGTTCTGCATATAACTTTGGCGTCGTTCATGTCGAATTCGTAATCACAGATTGTACCCCAAACACCGGCAACTCTGATCTCAACACGTCCGCTAAATGTACCATTGCCATCTACAAGTCTAACTCCGGTAATGTCCAAGTAATCGGCACCTGGTTTTTTTGATACAAGAGATAATTTACTTTAAGGTATAAGTCACGAAAGTGATCTAGTAAATTGTAACAGAAGCATCGATGAGTATTTACAATAGTCTGCGGTCAATTAATATAGCAATTTGTACGACTAAATATATATAATTTGCATGATAAATAAATAGCGGGCATTTGAAATAGAAATATACATTTTTTAAAACATTGGTCGAAATTTATTAGATAATGTAAAATTGTATCTTAAGGTGATTGGTACTTGTAGCTTTTGCGCCTTTCATAGTTTTAGCGGTTATACAGTATAAACTGTTTAGTCATATTCTCAACAACAAAAAATACAGAGAATTTTTACTCATGTTCAAAATAGCCGTTGAGAAATTGTAGATTCATTTCCAAACATTTGCTTACACCTTGTCAGGCCTGACTCTGGTAGATGTTTTGAAACCTCTATCAAGTAAGAGCATAAACAAATAACAATAATTACAAATAATTAACAAGGACATAATTTCTTACTTATTTGAAAGTAAGTAATTATATTAAGTTACCTGTTGTTGTATGGACTGACGTCAGCAAGAACACCAGCATAAACGTTATCTTCCACATTTTAACTCTAAAAAAGATGCGAATATATTTTTCTTTTGACGCTATTTACTTAAACTACACGGACATGCATAGCAGTATGAGAATACGGCGTATTTCAATTCAAAGAAAATGGTTCTCATCTTCTACAACATTTACGGGACAAAAGTTACAGAAAATATGTGCGTATTTCATTTAAAATGTGTACATGTACTCGTATTGCTTAACATATATATGTGGTTACAATCACAAAATTATATAAATGAAAACGATAAACGACGGCTTAAAGCCATACTATGCCAAATACGTATATGCATTTACTACAAATATATCTGTCACTTTCAAAAAGTTATCACCTCTGAATTGACAGAAGAAAATAGTTTACATGCTTAAAAGGATTTGTTTTATTTATCTATCACTAGAGCATTATGTTGGTGAACTGAGCCAAATAACATAATTTTATTATTATTTTGTTTTTATCTCATATCTATGATCGGCATGATCAATACTGATCACGTATGTGTCTTATCATAGATATGTAATCAAAACAAAAGGCGAACTTATACAGATATAAAATGATATACTCGTATAATAAAAAAACGACAATGTGCATGCTATGGTAAATATATTCAACAGTTAAAAGTGTGTATTATCAAACATTAAACATTAGTCAGCCATTAAAACATAATTATTTTGTTTAAACATAGTAATATCTTATAAAAAAAATATTTTAAATATTTTACACTCTGAAACACAATACCTTTAATAAGTATCTACACCATATTATAATGTTGAATTTTATGTCTGCACGCAAAGTTGATCGCCTAATTGATTTCCATTTGTAAATCATAATTATACAAATGCGCAATTTGTTGTCACATGATAGAAAAATATCAACCATTTTATTGGTTGTTTCCAACTGATCATAACAAAATATTATTGAATATAAAATACGTTTTATTCAAAAAGGAAGTCCTTCAAATTGATAATTTATGTGTGTAATTGGTACGTTAGAATTTATACCAGCAAGAACTGTTTGTCATATCTTTTTAACACTTCTGATGCGTTGGTAGTTAAAGCCTTTGACATACACCCTCATAATAAAGTATTGCACCAGCTGGACCATAAGTTGCCACTTTACATCGTGCACAATGGAATTGAACCACGGACAAAAAGAATATATATATACAAAAACTCTGAAAACCGGACTCTCTCGGGACTTGACCAAAAGTCCGGTTTTCAGAGGATTCCGGTTTTCAGAGGTTTTATACATTTATTGATAATTACGATGTGTTTGAACAATGACTTTGTTAAAACATTTTGTATTTACTTTTTAACATAGTTGTCTAAGTCATATTTTAATTTCTTTTAGCAATAAATGTCTTAAGTAATTTTATTATGCAAATCCATGAATATAATTCAGAAAATCAGAAATTAAAACAACACATTGTCTGAAATATATTTTTTAATTGGCTTTTGAATTATGTAATTAATGGTATTTAGTATACTATTTTTGCACATAGATCTAATAAATATCCAAACAAAGATCAAATGTTTTTGTAAAACAGGAATCATTTTACAAAAGTTTCTAATTCTTTTAGACATTTTATATTAAAAGAAGAAAAAACACACAGCAAATTAAAAATATTTAGAAAAATCATACCTATACGGGGAAAGGCACAGTTATAATGAAAGAGCTATAATTTAATTGCCAATAAGAAATTAACACACACTAACAAGTGTTTTCACACCTGCATAAATAAAAAAGATGATAATTAACTGGTAATTGAACATGTCACGTGTTGAGATTATGTTTTAATATACTTTAAAATACACAGAAATTTGACACTTAAAACTGCTGTCCGGTTTTCAGAGGATTTTTATGCATGTTTAGCATTAGAAGCCATAGAAAAGCGTCCGGTTTTCGGAATTCAGAGGTTCCGGTATTCAGAGGATTTTTTTTCAATGAACATATGGAAAAAATACGGTACTTTTGAAATGGTCCGGTTTTCAGAGGATTCCGGTTTTCAGAGGGTCCGGTTTTCAGAGTTTTTACATATATATATACAATGTATATGCTCTACTAAAATATTTGTTGTTTTTTTACAATTTAGAATTCTTTAATTCTTTAATGATTCATAGGAGATGTTTATTTTGTGCAGTAGACTAGATAAAGTAATTTGAAGTATCTCACCGGTGAACTGACAAAAGGCAGTATTTATTTTACAAAATGCACATTTGTTAATTAAAAGATGTTATGCTATGAAATGAAATAATATGTCCTTATCACAATGTTTATCTATCAGAAAAAAAACAACCAAATGTAAGTATTTGTCATTGTTATATTTCTTTGACTTATTTTAGTTAAGCACAATTGGAACAAGAAGATGCAACAAAAATATAAGATAAAACAAAAAAAAAGATCTTAAATTACAATCATCTCGACAAATATGGTTATAGAGTTTAGAGTTTGTTTTTCATTTATTCCATTAGGCTATTCGCCCATGGTGGCACTACAAGCATACACATATATATGTACAATACAAAGTGAGCATGATTTATGTGCATAATACAGCGAACAAAATTAATATTTGATCAACATAAACTTTTCATTGGAGAAGGTTAAGCATGACATATCTAAGCTTAATATTCTTAATAATTTCATTTCATATCATTTATATTATGACTTGAATATAAATATGTTAAGACTAGTAATCTGAAAATTATTATTTTCTCCTTAAATGACAATCAGAATTTGTAGATATATACACTGAGGTACATGTAGTAATATATTATCTTTCTCGTAAAAAGAAAGATAACTCTTGCATGAAATAAGTACAATAATAACAATATTTATATACAAAATAATAAGAACATACAAATCACATCCATTTTAACTACCAGCCTTACCGAAACTAAATGCAAGACGGCTATCATGGATAATTTTACGCATGAAACATGAAATTGCATAAAATGTTATATTTTTTTAACTAGACAAATGTTTTAAATGCACATTTTAAAAACTAAGCAAATAAGTAGGAATACAAGAAAAATAAATCATTACACATTTGAACCGTACAGCAATTTGTTTCTCTTTTCAAAAGATTTGTACACAAAAATTCCTAGTTTCTTTCTGTTTGTATCATTTTCATTGGTTAACAATTCAATAAATTTTACCATATTTGGATGTTTCCAGTATATCTTATGAATAAAGTGTTCCTTAAATAAAATGGTATGCATCCTTTAAAACATTACACGTTAAACACCACTTAAAAAAGATCGTTCATTAACAGGAGTTCTTGCAGGTCTATACTCAGCCTCTTTTTTAGCCTATGAGAGGAAACTCGCTATTTACCATTGTCCTATAAAATAAAACTCTACTAGAATTATGTAATCTTTCATGCCAGTTTTGAACAAAAGTCTCGTTAAATCGTTGTTTTAAAATTGCTAGAAACACATCAATATTGCCTACAGCCATCATAAAATCCTAAAGAACATAAAAGTTGTTTTAATTTACTATATTTGGGTCATTTTCAAAATCACTTTTCAACAATTTAAAAACTCTACTAACATATTTGTTTTCATTACTTCACAATATTTTCATCCAAAATTTTAGAAAAATAGATAACAGTGTTTTTTTGCAGTTTAGAATATCTTACTACGGTTCTGCGTTCTGATGTATATATAAGTATGAAAGCACTAAGTTAAAGAATGAAAATGTTAGCCTACAAATGTTAATACAAAACAAAATATATTTGTAATGGTTTAAATTAAGTTTAATAGTTTTATTAGCATTTCATTTCCTTTTGAAAATACCGCAAATATAATAATTACAAATTTCAAGTATAATGAATTATGTTTGCTTTCAATAAATCTATGTTAGCAATTCAATACGGACAGCACCTAGATCCATTTGTTAATCGTTTTGTTTGGTTTTTAAGACTTACCCTTCTACTGCACAAATCTCTCTGAGATAAATAGAGCGTAGTTTGGTGTACTGATGCCCAAATATTCTTGAGATAAATAGAGCGTGCAATTATGTATTATGCTGTATTATAAAGGATATCACAGGTATAATAAGGCTCTTATAATACATTTATTCAAGTCTTCTACAATACTTTTAGTCAATCAATGACTTTGAAGACTTTTTAACTCATTTTATAATGAAAATCCTTCAATTGCATTGAAATAACATTTTTTATGTTAAAGTATTAAGCAAGTCAAATGCATATTATTTACTTAAGTCACAATATATGGTGCAATTGAAAACTTTCTTCTTTTTTTAAAAAAAAAGTGCTTCTCTTTAATAAAAACACGGCATATTAGCATAGTTTGACAAGAATTAGGAACATTTTATCTTAAGTCAAATCAATGTCAAAGAATGGTACCTTGAAGAATAACTAAAATATGGTAAACAAGATCAAATAGAAAAGGCGGCGTTCCATTGAACTATTGAACAAGTAAATGTTATCAAATGTAGTGTTCAGAAAGTAATACTTGATCTATTATAAACTGATGAGTATAAGGAATTAGAGTATGAATTGTGTGGCACGACTCGTCGAGGCGTGAACTCAGTATTGTTGATTTTCTTCATTGAAAGTGCTAAAAATGCAGTAAGTAAAACGAATATCTATTCTATAAAAAAAGTCGTTTTTTCCAATAAGACCTAAACAGGGGTCTCGTGAAATGAATCTTAGGACCATATGCAGGTCGTTCAAGATGTCCTATTGTTCGGTCAATACATTAGACGGCTTACATATAATATCTCTTCAAAATTTAAAAAAAGATATAACTGGTAGAACGATAGTGATATCATGGTATTGATTTTAGCCTAGATACATAAAAACGATACAACAGAAAAAAGTATTCAATTTACAAAATATCATAATAATATTGTAGAGTAAACTTACCATTTCATCATCGGTGATGTATTATTAGAAAGAATCTTCTGAATTGATATTCTTTTTTTTAAATTATTCACTTCACCTGTTAATTATATAACTATCAGACTAAAGAGTTATCTGACTAAAAGAATACTAAACAAAACAGTGCATATCTATAACTGGAAAGACGCGAGCATGTTTATTCTTGATTAAATCATACATATTCATATATACTTTATTTGATTTAACGCTACAGCCTGTATCCAAATCTGGCATTGTCGGCAATAATAGATCAATGGATAATATTCAACAAAACTGTTTTTATTTAAGCTTGTATTGTTTTATTCAGTTATACATATAGATTTATGTCCACTTAATTAAAATGTTATCAAATGTCATCAGGGAAGTTAAAAATTCTATTAAGTATGTTGAAATTGTATACACTGAACGAGGAATCCATGTCCTATCAAAATTGGTTTTTAAAAAAGGGTGTCGATCGCCAAAATTAATCACAAAATTATTATATTATTATTATTATAATTATTATTATTATCATTATTATTATTATTATATTATTATTATTATTATTATTATTATTATTATTATTATTATTATTATTATTATTATTATTGTCATTATTATTATTATTGTTGTTGTTGTTGTTGTTGGCATTTTGCCTCTTAAAACACAATAGTTATATCATTTGATGTATGAAATTGATTCAATACAGAATACAGTAATCTTTAACACTATCCATCATAAAGCAAACACAATGCAAGGGTGTCAAACTGTCACAAAAAGCACTAACGTTTACTGTTTCAAAGGTATATTTAGATCATTATCTAATGCTTTTCTGTCTGCAGTTTTTTTTTAAAACGATGTGTGTTTGATATTTGGACTCTGATAACAAAATTCTTTTAAAATAAAGAAAGTGTGAATCCTTAACCCTTTCGCTGCCAGAGGGTTATTGTTTTATTGATCACCTATTTGCCAGAGGGTTTTCTAAGAAATTACTTTATTATTAATTAATATAATTGTTATTATTTGTTATGTGACGAATTTTGATTGGACATATAGACTTTTTCGGACTATATAGATTTACAGGAAGTAAAGGTTTATTTGGACTAAGAGGAATAGCTTTTACCTATATAAAGAGATGTTATGGTCAGTGTTAGGAGTAGTGTGTTTGTGTTCATTCAGTTAAGATGTTATTTTGGTTTGTTGTAATTGTATAGATTACTTGATATTTGGTGGAATAATACATTTATTTTACACAGAAGAGTTATTATTTATTGAGTTCTAATATATCATCGCCCAGAGAACCACGAAGCGTTACACTGGTGGCAGCGGTGGGATACAATTCCTATGTGGATTATTGTATTCCTAGAACAATCTACGTTGTGAGTTCTTCACAGTCTTTTGTTTTTGGGACAACGGTGAACATTTGTGGCCACAATGTCCGCCTTGCAAAATGTTTCAAAACAGACTAATCAGGGTGTGAATAAAGAACCAACTATCATCTCCGACTGCATGCTCGACTCCGATGAAGGATCAGATGGATTTAAAGGATAAGAAGCCATGTGCTTCAACTAGTGATTCCGGAATCAGCCAAGTGTTCTTTCCGCCTAATTTTGACAGCTATGTCAATACCTTGTCTCCCATTTGGAGTGAAAAGGACAGTGTTTCCGTTTTTACAAACAAACCAAAGAGAAGATGGATAAAGTTTCTTGTATTCTGGATAGCAGTCGTTCTGGTGGCCATAATATTTCAGCATTATAGAAGTGGAATTCTGAAAATACGTACATATGTTTTGGAAACGGTTATATATTCTATCGATGAATATTTGCCGTAACTAGTGCTCGTGTGTATTTTTCTGGTTTCGTCTGTGTTGTTTTGACTATGCCTTCCAGCGTTCGAGTAGAACAACTGGACAATCATCTAGTACAGTACACCATGAAGTACCAAGTGTTGGGACCTCTAATGTGCACAACTTTGTAAGAAATGGGCAGTATACTGCAAAGTCCCGATCTCGTGATTTTCCGTGTCGTAGAACATTCAGTGGAACTGGAAGTGATGTGTGGCACGATTTTAGAAGGTACTTCGATAATTTGACCATTTTGAATAACTGGTCAAAAGAAGAGTCAAGGAGAACTTTTCTGTGTTCTTTGCGTGGTCAGACGGAAGCATTCGCATACGGATTACCGTCAAGCGTGCAAAGTGATTTTAATTTGCTGTTCTCAAGGATGGAACAGAGATTTGGCATAGTAAATACGAAAGAAAGTTATATAGCTGATGCTAGATTAAGAAGAAAGCAGAAAAATGAGACATACAGAGAATTTGGCCAATCTATTGAGGATCTTCTTAGAAAAGCTTATCCAGATTGCTTAGGAATAGTTGGAGAACTGTCGTTGAGTACTTTTCTTGAAAACTGTCATGATTCAGCTGACTTTAGGTTGTGAAAAGAACTAGTGCAAAAACCTTGCAGGATGCGATAACAGCTGCCATACAAGAAGAGTGTTTAAGACAAACGGAACATGAAAAACATAGAGTTAACTACAAGAGTGGGCGTGTCTTACACCTAGAGCGTTACAGAGAGCGGCCAAGACGTGGAAATATGCCTTGGACTAGCCGGAGTTCAAACAGACGCCAGGTAAATCACTCGAATCACAAGGATCTAAAGGAATCTCTTATTCAGCAGGATTCCAAGAATGTATCGGAAAACTAGGATCGACCGCCTCGGGAGGTCAGAGAACGGTCGATATCAATGTTAAGGAAAGACCTCAACAGAGTGAAGTTACTGAAAACAATAAGAATTGTATAAGTGTAAGACTAAAAAAGGGTATGAATGTCTTAAGAAAAATCTGTAATCAGCAAGTGAACTGGAAAATTGATACAGGTGCAAAACGGACATTTATTACCTTAGATACCTTTAAAAGCATTCAGTACCGGTATAGGCCTGAACTTAAGCCAACAAAGTGCAGATTTAAGGCAGCGAATGGTAACAAAGTTTTTTGTGATGGAGTTGCTTTTGTTGTGCTTAACTTTAAAGATACAGATACATGTATATTCTTTCCAGTCATTGTTGGTGGTGTAACGGAAAATTTATTAGGAGAAGATTTCCTGGAAAAATTTCAGTGCAATTTGAACTATACGAACAGAGAGCTTCTGATACATTTAGATAATGACATTGTCAATAAAGGACATATTTCAAATGAAGGCAAACTGTCACAAGTGTGTACAATGGAGACTTGTAACATCTCAGCAGATTGTGAAATACTGGTAGAGTCAAAATAAAGGGTGAAGTGAAGGAGAGACATGGCATACTTGTTCAAGATGATAAATTTGTGGAAAATCATAACATGTTAGTTGCTAGGGTATTGATTGACTGTGAAGATTCTTTTCAGGCAAGGATTTTACATCCTTAAAATTCAGCTGTAAAGATACCAAAAGGAACTGTTATTTCTCTATTTGAACCAATTCAAGAGATTGCCGATGGTTGTATACATGACGATTTGCCTGTGTTTCATGTTTCCGGACATATAAATTGTGATTAACCAGAGTATTTAACTCAAACATTCGATGATGGAAGTCCGAACCTTGATTCGGATCAGTCGGCCAAGTTTCAACAACTGTTGTTTAGACATCAACACGTGTTTGCAAAGCCTGGAGAAGTAGGGCGTACAGATATTGGCTCACATAAAATAGTTCTTACTGACGAGAGACCTATTAAAGATGCACCTAGAAAGATTCCATTGTTCAAACGTAAAGCCATTAAAGAAGAAATAGAAAGTCTTGAAAAGAAAGGATTGATAGAAAAATCCGAGAGTCCTTGGAGTTCTCAACTTGTGCTGGTTCGTAAGAAAGATAATACCTGGAGGATGTGTGTCGATTATCGTAAATTAAACAATAAAACTGTGAAAGATGCTTACCCGATTCCACGGATACAAGACAATTTAGCTTCACTTGTCGGTGCAAAATGGTTTTCAAGTTTGGATTGTAATATGGCCTATCATCAAATTCCCCTAGAGGAAAGTGACAAACCTAAGACAGCTTTTGAGACGCCAACAGGAGGGCTTTACCAGTATACAACAATGCCTTTCGGGTTATGTAATGCACCGGCAACATTCCAACGAATAATAGAGAAAGTATGTGTTGGATTACAATGGAATATACTAGTGCTTTATTTGGATGACATTGTTGTGTACTTTTGTGCCGTTCTTTTGAATCTCATTTAAAAGATTTAGAGACAGTGTTTAAACGACTGGAAGAATCTGGACTGAAACTTAAAGCAAAGAAATGTCATTTCTTTAGAAAAGAAGCAAGGTTTCTTGGGCACATTGTGTCACATGATGGAATAAAGCCAGACCCATCAAAAATTGAAGCTGTATCCTCTATAAAACGGCCAAGTAATATTACAGAGTTACGGAGTTTCCTTGGTTTCACGTCATATTTCAGGAAATTTGTGAAAGACTATGCTGTTATAGCAAGACCATTGTACAATCTCACAAAGAAAAATGCCGCATGGGAATGGAATACTGAGTGTGAAAAAGCTTTCATTACTTTGAAGTTAAAGCTTTCGTCCCCTCCTATTCTTGCTTACCCTGATACAGAGGGTGGTAGATTCATTTTAGATAGCGATGCCAGCAACTTTGGAATCGGAGCGGTTCTATCACAAGAGCAAGATGGAGTAGAAAGAGTGATAGCGTATGGGAGTAGAGTGCTGGACAAGGCAGAGACAAATTACTGTGTCACACGGCGTGAGATGCTTTCAATAGTTTACTTTACGAAGTATTTCCAGGAATATCTATCGGGAAGGAAGTTCCTCATACGGACAGATCATTCATCTTTAAGGTGACTTCAACAGTTCAAAGATCCAGATGGTCAAGTACACCGTTGGCTAGAGCAATTAAGTAAATTTGATTACGACATTGAACATCGCCCTGGATCAAAGCATACAAATGCTGATTATTTATCAAGAGTTAGTAGGGGTAACGTAGTTGAATGTAGACAGTGTCATATGCCATTAGACAAAGAAACGTGTGGCATATCTGAAAAGGGAAATGTGTTTGAATCTAATATCAATGCACTTCAAAATACAGATGAGAGTGACAATGAAGCAGAAGTTCCAAGAATAGTGAGACGGAAACGTGGTC